GCTATGGGGAAAGCGGTGGCGGGGGGGGGGGGGGGGAAGCAAGTGATGGAGACTGAAGATTTGTGGCGTGGCTGGATCCCAGGGGTTCACTCTATTCCCCCCCCCCAACCCAACAACAGTCCCTTGGGGGCAGTTAGGAATGGTTTCTGCACCAGGTTTTACAGGCAAATGCACTCTGCCCATGCTCAGAAGCCACCTAGTTGACATGTCTGGCCGAAGCCCCGGGGGTCATACCACAAGTCCTTTCTATAGCTGGTCAGATTTTTAGAATCTCCTGTTCTTTGGCTTTGAGCAAAGCTGAAAAGAAGAAGAAGGAGAAGAGATTGGATTTATAGCCTGCCCTTCACTACCCAAAGGAGTCTCAGAGCGGCTCGCAAACTCCTTTCCCTTCCCCTCCCCACAGCAGACACCCTGTGAGGTAGTGTAGTGGGTTAAGTGTGCAGACTCTAATCTGGGAGAACCGGGTTTGATTCCCCACTCCTCCACTTGCACCTGCTGATGTGACCTTGGGTCAGTCACAAGCTCTGGCACAGCTGTCCTTGAAAAAGAGCAGTTTGTGTCAGAGCTCTCTCAGCCCCACCTACCTCACAGGGTGTCTGTTGTGGGGAGGGGAAGGGAAAGGAGTTTGTAAGACGCTCTGAGACTCCAAGTGAAGGGCGGAGTATAAATCCAATCTCTTCTCTTCTTCTTCTTCTAGGTGGGGCTGAGAGAGCTCTGTCCAGGACTGCTGTTGAGAGAACAGCTCTGACAGAACTATGGCTTGCTCAAGGTCATCCAGCAGGTGCAAGTGGAGGAGTGGGGAATCAAACCCGGTCCTCCCAGATTAGAGTCCGGGCATTTAACCAGTACACCAAACTGGCATAGAACAATTGGCCAGAGCGACAGCCAATTAAAAGGGCTTGCACCAAGCCTCAAGGCAGCTCCTGAAGTTCACAGAACTCTTCTTGTGTCTGGGTGTTAAGCAAGAGTGAGACAAACAGACAGGCAGGCAGAGAGACAGACACACACAGAGCGGGCGATTCTGCATCTGACATTCCTTCCACATTTTCTCAACTGGGAGGAAAAGGTGCAGCTCAAAACCACATTCAAATACCCCAGGGCAACACCGTACTGACTGCGATGTCACCCCTGAATGGCCATAAATCTATGCAGAAGGTACCATAAAACCGAATGACCAAAGAAAGTGAAAGCAGCCTACAGTGCAGGGGGTGCCATAAAATCCAATGACCAAAGAAAGCGAAAGCAGCATGCAATGCAGAGGGGAATTCCTGCTCCAAGGTGGCTTTGGTAAAACAACGGAGGGAAAGACAATGCAGAATCTCCCAGAGAGACAGAGAGGGAGATGGAGATAGTGGCAGAGAGACAAAGACAGAGAGAGAGGCAGAGACACTGAGGGAGCGGGGTCACTGAGGGAGCGGGGACAGAGAGAGAGGCAGAGACACTGAGGGAGCGGTCTGCAACACACAGAAGAGGTGTGTTGCAGACCGCAGGCAAAAACGTTCTCAGGCTTTGCAAAAGGCTACTGGGATAAAAGAGACACAGCCTTTCTCTTTTTGGGGACACAAAAGCCAGCAGTAATTCGGCTCTGTCTTTAGTGTTAATCAGAATCCACTCCTAAAACAGAGGGAGATGTCAGGTTTTCTTACATTAGTGAAGCTAAGTGATGATACGGAAAGAAAGAGTCAGCAAAATCCAAAAGCAGCAGTGTTACCTAATGGGGAGGGGAGGGGGAAACCCCTAGGTCCCATATGAACGTTCTCCTCAATGAAGAAGAAGAGGAGGAGGAGGAGGAGGAGGAAGAAGAAGAGGAGACTGGATTTATAACCTGCCCTTCACTACCCAAAGGAGTCTCAGAACAGCTTACAAACCCCTCTCTCTTCCCCTCCCCACAACAGACACCCTGTGAGGTAGGTGGGGCTCAGAGAGCTTTGACTGAGAACTGCCCTTGAGAGAACTTGTGACTGACCCAAGGTCATACCAGCAGCTGCATGTGGAGGAGTGAGGAATCAAGCCCGGTTCTCCCAGATTAGAGTCCACGCACTTAACCACGACACCAAGCAAAGGTACAAACTTAACCACTACACCAAACAAAGGTCCAATGGGTTGGCAGTTTCCCCTTCCTTATTTGCCGTTCCTTGTTCAGGAGGCCAATCAAACATATTGATGATATACGCAAGACGTTCTGTGCCCTAAAATGAGCTTTGGGCTTTCCCAAACAATACATCACCAGAGGCCTCCCTTTCGGGGGCACCTCACCTGGATGCAGCTGGCCCAGTTCTTCATCCAGCACTTCTGATAAATATCGTCCACTGCGATTTCTGGGCAGGGGAGGGGGCTCGCATTGAAGCTTATGGTGTCAGAACCAGGATTTGGGCTGGGGAACAGCTTATGTTCTGCAGGGCCCAGACCTGAGAGTCTGGCAGCATGATTTTTGCAGGTGGTCAGCCATGTTGGTCTGAAGCAGTGGAACAAATGTAGAGTCTGGTGGCACCTTTAAGACCAACAAAGGTTTATTCAGGGTATGAGCTTTCGTGTGCAGGCACACTTTTTCAGTTACATTGGAATGGAAGGCAAGAGTTCAACTTAGAGAGAGAGGCTGAACAGCAAATTAGCATTTAAGATGATGAAGCTGTTTTAAGACATGCAAAGACCAGGGGTCATTTCCTGCAGGAGTGCACAGGAGTGGAGCTCCGGCAGTAAAGAGCCCAGGGGGCAGGCACGTGCAACAAGCCCCACCCCCTGCTCCCAGCAGCCCTCAGTCAGAGCAAGAAGCAGCCAGGTAAGCTGCAGAGGCGCCCCCCCACCCCCCGGTCCAAAACAGTCCAGCGGCACCTTTAAGCCCAAGGTTTATTCAGGTACAAGCTCTCCCTCCTCTGTGAGGACAGATCTGCATGTCCCCCCCCCCCCAATAGCTAGCAATCCAAAACAGTCCAGTGGAGCCTGAGCGGTGGGTGTTGCCTTCTGACACACTTCCGGTGATGTCAGGGGGTGTGGCCTATGCAAATAAGTTATGCTAATGGGTTATGCTAATGAGCTCCTGCACCTCTTTTTCTACGAAAAGACCCCTGGCAAAGACAAAACTAAATAAGCTAAGGGCCAGTTTGGTGCAGTGGTTAAGTGTGTGGACTCTAATCTGAGAGAACCGGGTTTGATTCCCCACTCCTCCACTTGCACCTGCTGATGTGACCTTGGGTGAGTCACAAGCTCTGGCACAGCTGTTCCTTAAAGAGCAGTTTGTGTCAGAGTTCTCTCAGCCCCACCCACCTCACAGGGTGTCTGTTGTGGGGAGGGGAAGGGAAAGGAGTTTGTAAGCCGCTCTGAGACTCCAAGTGAAGGATGGGGTATAAATCCAATCTCCTCCTCCTCCTCTTCCTCTTCTTCTTCTTATCAGGTCGGAACTCCAAAAACAACGTCCATGATAAAAATAACAAAGAGTCAATAAAGACAAGCTGCAAAAACATTTACTAAAGTATTTCTGTAGTTCTGTAAGGAATATCCTTCTGTCATCGCTCACACGCTAACGAATACTGCGCAATGTGAACATTCGTTTCACAATATGTACTTTATCTGAGCGTGTAGCAATCCCAATTCTTATCAAATAGTACTTATCAACTCTTGCTGGAAACATTCCATGTTGACTAATAACAGGAGCCAAGGTCTTCACAAGGTCTTCGTTATTTTTATCACAGATGTTGTTTTTGGAGTTTTCCGTGATCTCTCATTTTGGCTTCCACAAGGTTATCAGGTCAGAGGTTGTTTTGACTTAGTTAAGGGGGGGGAAAGGACAGTAAAGCAATAAATATGTCAAAATAGGGGATAAACGTGTAAAGGTATCTTTTCTAATTGTGGGTAGTAAACTGAGACTCTCCATTCGTTTCCTCTCAGGCGTGGAGGTCACTGAACAGCATTTTCTTTTCTTTTTCCAGGTTGGTGCAGTGTTATGTGTCAGCAAAACATTTTGGTGATTCAAAACGTCTTCTGGGTGCAGCTGTTCCCAGTTTTTTAATCTTTGTCTTCCGGTGGAACCCCGTATTTGGAGCAGTGATTGGTAAAACCAGGCCTTAGATGAAGGAACAGCATAGGTTCACTTGCTGGGCAGAGCCGCACCAAGTCTTAGGGTCAACAGTATGGGGTGGTCCAAAGCTTACTCTGGGATGCAGAGCTTTTAAAGTATCATTCATATTTGTGAATGGGGTCATGAATGAGGAATGAGGTACTGCAAATAAGGAATTGGGAACTGGGAACCAGCATCAGCCGTATCTGGCATTATTAAGGCTGACAATCACCTTCCTCAATTTGTGAGATGGCTTCATCCGTTATTTTCCAAAGCAAAAAGAAATTGCAGGGAGTCATTTCCAAGTGCTAGATTTTGGTCCTGTCCCACATGTAAATCTTTAAATGTAAACATGTAAAATTGAGACTTTAAAAAAAACAACACCTTCCTTCCTATCTACCATGTTGGGTGATAGTGAGATATTAAAAAAATGGTATTTAGCAGAGATAATATAGCCCAGCAGAGCCTGAGTAAAATAATTCAGACAGAGTCCATGTGTGATTAAAATATAAAGTTTTTACTAAATTCTAGCATGGGGAAGGGTAACTGGGATGAAAATAACAACAGAGCTAATCGGCTACATCCTTACACTACGAAGACAAAACTAGAAGAGAGTTACGGCTTCTCTTCTTCTTCAGAACAGCAAACAAATAAAATGCTAAAACACTTTGACACTTTCGTCCCAATCAAACTCCTAGATCATGGAGAAAATTCCCGGGCTTCTTACAGCTAAAAAACATTGGTTACATGAGAAACATGTGACTTCCTGTGAGTAACATAAACAAACATTTAACCCCAGATGTACTACTGAGTGTTTTCAACTTGTAATACCCAACACATCTTCCTTCCTTCCTTCCTTCCTTCCTTCCTTCCTTCCTTCCTTCCTTCCTTCCTTCCTTCCTTCCTCCTCAGTCTCCCAAGTCTCTCTCTTCTTCCAATAGTAGTGGAACAATCCTAATCAAAGGAAGCCAATGGGCAGTAGGTTCAGGACAGACAAAAGGGAATACTCCTTTACACAGAGAGTGATTCAAATGTGGAATTCGCTGCTATTGACCCTTCAGAGGAACTGGTTGGCCACTGTGTGAGACAGGATCCTGGAGTGGGTGGGCCACTGGTCTGATCCAGCAGGGCTCTTCTGATGTTCTTGTTTACTCATAAGGGAAAGCCACTGAGTTCAATAGGACTTAATCCAGAGAAAGTACCCATAAGACTGTTACCCTGAATGCTAGGAAGGGAAGACTGGCAGCAAGCAGTCCAGAAGCTCACCATTCACAAAGTAATCCCTTCTTTTTTTGCTTCTGTTGCATTGTAGCCTCCCTCTAGCTACCACTAGAGTTGGTTCCTGCTTTGCTTGTTCCACATGCAGCTGCTGGTGTGACCTTGGGTCAGTTGGAAGTTCTCTCAGAGCTGTTCTCTCATGAGGAGTTCTCTCAGAGCTCTCTCAGCACCGCCTACCTCACCGGGTGTCTGTTGCGGGGAGGGGAAGGGAAAGGAGATTGTAAGCTGCTCTGAGACTCCTTTGGGTCATGAAGGGTGGGGTACAAATCCAATCTCTTCCTATTCTTCTTCTTCTTCTTTTGGGTGAGCATTGTGTGTGCGTGTGCCTGCATGCGCATATGCCTGGAAGTCATGGTTGACTTCTGTCGACCCCTAGCGGTGCTTGGACGTTTGCTTGCTGTTGCCTGCCCCCGCCTCCTGCCTCTGGTATGCCAAGGAGGTCTCCCATCCAAGTACTTCCCAGGGTCGGCCCTGCTTAGCTTCTGAGATCTGACAAGATCAGGCTTGCCTGGGTCATCCAGGTCATGGCTTTTATTTGCTTTACTCATATCCTGCCTTTCTCCTCTACAGAGCCCCCAAAGCGTCTTACGTTGTTCTCCTCCATATTCTCTTCACCACAGCCCTTTGAGGTAGGCCAGGCTGAGAAAGTGTGACTGGCCCAAGGTCGCTCAGCAAGCTTCCACAGCAGAGTGGGCATTTGAACCTGGGTCTCCCATATACTAGTCCTACACTCTTAACTACGGCACCAGGTTGGCTCTCATCTCAATGTTGAGTCTTATAAACCTGAGTCGGGATCACTCCCCTCAAGGGATCTCATGTACCCAGAACATGTCACATCCTGGGCGAACCTTCTAAGGAGGATAACTTCCTCCGCTCTGAACCTCGGAGAGCCAGTTTGGCGTGGTGGTTAAAAGCACGGACTCTAATCTGGGAAAACCGGGTTTGATTCCCCACTCCTCCCCATGCAGCTGCTGGCGTGACCTTGAGTCAGTCACAAATTCTCTCAGAGCTGTTCTCTCGGGAGCAGTCCTCGAAAGAGCTCTCTCAGCCCCACCCACCTCCCAGGGTGTCTGTTATGGGGAGGGGAAGGGAAAGGAGATAGTAAGCCGCTCTGAGACTCCGAATGAAGGGCGGAGTATAAATCCAATCTCCTCTTCTTCTCTTTTGTCGTGGAAGGCCTTTCTCCTCTTCTAGGCTGTGCCCTTTGTATCGGGGAAAGCAGAAGACACAAGCTGAGCCTGCTTCTTTGTCAGCTTCTCCCCCCCCCCCAAGTCCAAGCCACATTGTTACCCCCTTACATATCCCTGCAGCATCTCTTGAGAAATAGGGCTCTGGTGGCCATCAGGCCGGGCTCCTGGATGTGCAGGCCCAGCTGAGGTGGATGAAGCAACACCTGCTTTCCCTCGGAGCTTTCCATGGTCCTGAAACCCCTGCTTGACCATTACCAGATACGTCCTGGTGAGGGTCAGTCCCGGCCAGCATTCTGTGGAATCCCAACTTTTTGCCAGAGCAGAGCAAGGACCCAACAAGCCGCCGAAACAGTCCCTACACTCCTCTAATCAAATATGAAGAAATCAGGTGAGGTGTGAGCCAGTGTTCCCTCTAAGCTGAGTTAGTGTGAGCTAGCTCACAGTTTTTTAGCCTCTGGCTCACACATTTTGGCCTTAGCTGGGGAAGGATGGCTCCAGAGCAAACTAATTTATGCAGTAGCCAAATTCCTCGCTCACAACTTATTTGTTAGCCAGTAGCTAACAAAGTAGAGGAGCTGCGGCGGCTCAAGTGGTTAAGACGCTGAACTGCAGGCTGTGGAAGGTCGGTAGTTCGGCAGTTCGAGACCCGGGTGCCGTATGACCGAGTGAGCTCCCATCTCTAGTTCCAGCTCCTGCCAACCTAGCTGTTCGAAAGCAAGAAATTGCAAGTAGATAAATAGGTACCACTTCGGTGGGAAGGTAAGAGCGTTCCGTGTGCCTTGGTGTTCAGTCATGC